AGAAGTCTGGAGTAACATTTTAACTTGCCATGGTTACTTACTATTTGCCACTCTAGGGTATGTTACACAGAAGCCTGGAGTAACATGTTAACTTGCCATGGTTACTTACTATTTGTCACTCTGGGCTATGTTACACAGAAGCCTGGAGTAACATGTTAACTTGCCGTGGTTACTTACTATTTGTCACTCTAGGTTATGTTACACAGAAGCCTGGAGTAACATTTTAACTTGCCATGGTTACTTACTATTTGTCACTCTAGGTTATGTTACACAGAAGCCTGGAGTAACATGTTAACTTGCCATGGTTACTTACTATTTGTCACTCTGGGCTATGTTACACAGAAGCCTGGAGTAACATGTTAACTTGCCATGGTTACTTACTATTTGTCACTCTGGGCTATGTTACACAGAAGTCTGGAGTAACATTTTAACTTGCCATGGTTACTTACTATTTGTCACCTATCTAGGTTATGTTACACAGAAGCCTGGAGTAACATGTTAACTTGCCATGGTTACTTACTATTTGTCACTCTGGGCTATGTTACACAGAAGTCTGGAGTAACATTTTAACTTGCCATGGTTACTTACTATTTGTCACTCTAGGTTATGTTACACAGAAGCCTGGAGTAACATGTTAACTTGCCATGGTTACTTACTATTTGTCACTCTAGGTTATGTTACACAGAAGCCTGGAGTAACATGTTAACTTGCCATGGTTACTTACTATTTGTCACTCTGGGCTATGTTACACAGAAGCCTGGAGTAACATGTTAACTTGCCATGGTTACTTACTATTTGTCACTCTGGGCTATGTTACACAGAAGTCTGGAGTAACATTTTAACTTGCCATGGTTACTTACTATTTGCCACCTATCTAGGTTATGTTACACAGAAGCCTGGAGTAACATGTTAACTTGCCATGGTTACTTACTATTTGTCACTCTAGGTTATGTTACACAGAAGCCTGGAGTAACATTTTAACTTGCCATGGTTACTTACTATTTGTCACTCTAGGTTATGTTACACAGAAGCCTGGAGTAACATTATACCTTGCCATGGTTACTTACTATTTGTCACTCTAGGTTATGTTACACAGAAGCCTGGAGTAACATTATACCTTGCCATGGTTACTTACTATTTGTCACTCTATGTTATGTTACACAGAAGCCTGGAGTAACATGTTAACTTGCCATGGTTACTTACTATTTGTCACTCTGGGCTATGTTACACAGAAGTCTGGAGTAACATTTTAACTTGCCATGGTTACTTACTATTTGCCACTCTAGGTTATGTTACACAGAAGCCTGGAGTAACATGTTAACTTGCCATGCTTACTTACTATTTGTCACTCTGGGCTATGTTACACAGAAGCCAGGAGTAACATGTTAACTTGCCATGGTTACTTACTATTTGTCACTCTGGGCTATGTTACACAGAAGTCTGGAGTAACATTTTAACTTGCCATGGTTACTTACTATTTGCCACTCTAGGTTATGTTACACAGAAGCCTGGAGTAACATGTTAACTTGCCATGGTTACTTACTATTTGTCACTCTGGGCTATGTTACACAGAAGCCAGGAGTAACATGTTAACTTGCCATGGTTACTTACTATTTGTCACTCTGGGCTATGTTACACAGAAGCCTGGAGTAACATTTTAACTTGCCATGGTTACTTACTATTTGCCACTCTAGGTTATGTTACACAGAAGCCTGGAGTAACATTTTAACTTGCCATGGTTACTTACTATTTGTCACTCTAGGTTATGTTACACAGAAGTCTGGAGTAACATTTTAACTTGCCATGGTTACTTACTATTTGCCACTCTAGGTTATGTTACACAGAAGCCTGGAGTAACATTATACCTTGCCATGGTTACTTACTATTTGTCACTCTAGGTTATGTTACACAGAAGCCTGGAGTAACATTATACCTTGCCATGGTTACTTACTATTTGTCACTCTGTGTTATGTTACACAGAAGCCTGGAGTAACATTATACCTTGCCATGGTTACTTATCATGTGTAACACTAGACAGTGTGGCTATGTTCTATGTCAGCTAGTTTATTGAGTTATGTGGGGAAGGTTATAACATGTTAAATAGTGTCACAGTTACTTCAGTGGGTATCTGTATTGTCTCCTACTAGCAGGTCTGTGGTCTGACATATTTGAATTTTGTGTTACCGACTCTGAGTGTCCCAGCTGCCTACCTCCAGACACAAGAAGTAGTACATGTTCCAGTCAATAAGGACCTGCTGTCTAGCACTGTCACTGGCCTTCATTTACCTGAGGAAAAGTTAGAACTGCAGCTGGTACCAGCAACTTCTATAGTTTAGTAAGTCCATGCTGAGGGCTATTTCTGTCACAAGAATGGTAGAGTCGGGACAAAGTAGAGCTGCCAAATTACAGACCCGTCACCCATGAATAAATGTCAGGTTACATTATTGACGCCAAGTGTTTGTGAAACTAGGTATTACCTATCCTACCAATGCTGTTTTATTACATAAATGACATGAATAGATTTGTTAAAAAAGTGACTACTTATGACATCAATGTTTCGGATTCCTCATCCGTTATGAATGGACCACCTACCTCAATGTTTTCAGTGCAAATGTTCTGGCAGTTTTTCAAGTCACTGTAGCTTTTTTCTTTCAAATAAAACAGACCTTCACATTAAACCTGTGGTAAACACTGAGTGACCAGGCCTCTATCAGGGGCGATCACAGTCCTGTCTGGTGGAATCAAAGCAGACATTTGCTGAAGTAACCACCTGGAAGCCAATCCCAGATCAGTTTCTGCAAAGTGACCTCTGACCTATCTGGTCAAGGAACTTTCAGTAAGTGTTACAGAAGAATCCACAACTTCAGACTGGTCATGTGACTAATGATATTGACCAGCTCTGTCTGATAGTCATTAGCAAGTGACCCTTGGTGCAGGTTACTTGACCAGTCGGGTATAAGGAACTAATCATCACATTTTGTCACAATTTATGAAAATATGATCCTTTATCACCTGGAAACCAGTCACAAACAAGCTGGGTTTTACTGGCATTGTAATGAAGCCCAGCAAATATTCTCCAAAATATTTTCATGCAACTTGACCTGTCTCTAAGTAAGATACAATCCACAGAGAAAACTTGGTCAATACACATTAAGATATCAGTGTTCTATAACTTGGTCAATACACATTAAGATATCAGTGTTCTATAACTTGGTCACTACACATTAAGATATCAGTGTTCTATAACTTGGTCACTACACATTAAGATATCAGTGTTCTATAACTTGGTCACTACACATTAAGATATCAGTGTTCTATAACTTGGTCACTACACATTAAGATATCAGTGTTGTATAACTTGGTCAATACACATTAAGATATCAGTGTTCTATAACTTGGTCACTACACATTAAGATATCAGTGTTCTATAACTTGGTCACTACACATTAAGATATCAGTGTTCTATAACTTGGTCACTACACATTAAGATATCAGTGTTGTATAACTTGGTCACTACACATTAAGATATCAGTGTTCTATAACTTGGTCACTACACATTAAGATATCAGTGTTCTATAACTTGGTCACTACACATTAAGATATCAGTGTTGTATAACTTGGTCAATACACATTAAGATATCAGTGTTGTATAACTTGGTCACTACACATTAAGATATCAGTGTTGTATAACTTGGTCAATACACATTAAGATATCAGTGTTCACTTGGTCACTACACATTAAGATATCAGTGTTCTATAACTTGGTCACTACACATTAAGATATCAGTGTTCTATAACTTGGTCACTACACATTAAGATATCAGTGTTCTATAACTTGGTCACTACACATTAAGATATCAGTGTTATCTATATATCTTGGTCACTACACATTAAGATATCAGTGTTCTATAACTTGGTCACTACACATTAAGATATCAGTGTTGTATAACTTGGTCACTACACATTAAGATATCAGTGTTGTATAACTTGGTCACTACACATTAAGATATCAGTGTTGTATAACTTGGTCACTACACATTAAGATATCAGTGTTCTATAACTTGGTCACTACACATTAAGATATCAGTGTTCTATAACTTGGTCACTACACATTAAGATATCAGTGTTGTATAACTTGGTCACTACACATTAAGATATCAGTGTTCTATAACTTGGTCAATACACATTAAGATATCAGTGTTGTATAACTTGGTCATACACATTAACATTAAGATATCAGTGTTGTATAACTTGGTCAATACACATTAAGATATCAGTGTTGTATAACTTGGTCAATACACATTAAGATATCAGTGTTGTATAACTTGGTCACTACACATTAAGATATCAGTGTTGTATAACTTGGTCACTACACATTAAGATATCAGTGTTGTATAACTTGGTCACTACACATTAAGATATCAGTGTTGTATAACTTGGTCACTACACATTAAGATATCAGTGTTGTATAACTTGGTCACTACACATTAAGATATCAGTGTTGTATAACTTGTCATACACATTAAGATGGTGTATAACTTAACTTGTCACAATACACATTAAGATATCAGTGTTGTATAACTTGGTCAATACACATTAAGATATCAGTGTTGTATAACTTGGTCAATACACATTAAGATATCAGTGTTGTATAACTTGGTCACTACACATTAAGATATCAGTGTTGTATAACTTGTGATGACTTGTGGCTATAGCAACACCTGGCTCCCAATAGTGGGTTTTATAACTGGTTTTGAGTAATATATACTGAACAACATTAGAAACGCACCAGACTGAAATGTACCCATGATATCTGAGCATCGTAGGTGCATTTTAGTGTGGTGTGTTTCTAATGTTGTTCAGTATATTTAGTACATTACTGACATGTCATCACTGCATAATCTGTCAAACTGACCTCAATGTTACGTCCTGGAGCTTGCTGTGGAGCGGAGTGGAGTGGAGTCAGACAAGGAGACATCATAACATTCCTGATTAGATTCAGACATATCAGAATGGTTACAACCTTTATTAACAATCACATACACATTACATAACTGTCCTGTACTGACAATGTGGAAGCTGGTTCCACGGGAGGAGAAATATATTGTTCCTGACACAAATCTGCCTGTACTAACCCTCCTCCTTGGACAGAACACATTCACGAACCTGCTCCACAGAAACATCACTCTCTTCACACACATTATCTGTGTGTGCAATAACTTGTCACCAGACACCCCACCTGTCCAGCACACAGAGAGGCAGTATGAGCCAGCCAGCCCCGGGACCCCTCAGCTGCTGCCTGCTGTGGGTGGCTGATCATGCAACACCGACAGCGCCAGGTCAGACCACTTCTGCTCCTGTTCCCGGAGAGTCTCTGTTGTGGGACCATTGTCTGGCTCAATCTCTGGCAGCTCTAACTGTGGCACCATGATGTCTTCCATCGGCAGCCTGTCTTCACGCCACTTCTCGTCTATGATGTCCATCAGGCGACCGTCCCGTTGCACTTCACTGTCCATGGTGCACACCTGTAATATAGAACATGATGCACACCTGTAATATAGAACATGGTGCACACCTGTAATATAGAACATGGTGCACACCTGTAATATAGAACATGATGCACACCTGTAATATAGAACATGATGCACACCTGTAATATAGAACATGATGCACACCTGTAACATAGAACATGATGCACACCTGTAATATAGAACATGATGCACACCTGTAACATAGAACATGATGCACACCTGTAACATAGAACATGATGCACACCTGTAATATAGAACATGATGCACACCTGTAATATAGAACATGATGCACACCTGTAATATAGAACATGATGCACACCTGTAATATAGAACATGATGCACACCTGTAATATAGAACATGATGCACACCTGTAACATATAGAACATGATGCACACCTGTAATATAGAACATGATGCACACCTGTAATATAGAACATGATGCACACCTGTAATATAACATACCTGAGAACATGATGCACACCTGTAATATAGAACATGATGCACACCTGTAACATAGAACATGATGCACACCTGTAATATAGAACATGATGCACACCTGTAATATAGAACATGATGCACACCTGTAATATAGAACATGATGCACACCTGTAATATAGAACATGATGCACACCTGTAATATAGAACATGATGCTGTAATATAGAACATGATGCACACCTGTAATATAGAACATGATGCACACCTGTAATATAGAACATGATGCACACCTGTGCACACCTGTAATATAGAACATGATGCACACCTGTAATATAGAACATGATGCACACCATGATGCACACCTGTAACATAGAACATGATGCACACCTGTAATATAGAACATGATGCACACCTGTAATATAGAACATGCACATGCACACCTGTAATATAGAACATGATGCACACCTGTAATATAGAACATGGTGCACACCTGTAATATAGAACATGATGCACACCTGTAATATAGAACATGGTGCACACCTGTAATATAGAACATGATGCACACCTGTAATATAGAACATGATGCACACCTGTAATATAGAACATGGTGCACACCTGTAATATAGAACATGATGCACACCTGTAATATAGAACATGATGCACACCTGTAATATAGAACATGATGCACACCTGTAATATAGAACATGATGCACACCTGTAATATAGAACATGATGCACACCTGTAATATAGAACATGAACATGATGCACACCTGTAATATAGAACATGAGCAACATGATGCACACCTGTAATATAGAACATGATGCACACCTGTAATATAGAACATGATGCACACCTGTAATATAGAACATGATGCACACCTGTAATATAGAACATGATAATATAGAACATGATGCACACCTGTAATATAGAACATGAACATGATGCACACCTGTAATAGAACATGATGCACACCTGTAATATAGAACATGATGCACACCTGTAATATAGAACATGATGCACACCTGTAATATAGAACATGATGCACACCTGTAATATAGAACATGATGCACACCTGTAATATAGAACATGATGCACACCTGTAATATAGAACATGATGCACACCTGTAATATAGAACATGATGCACACCTGTAATATAGAACATGATGCACACCTGTAATATAGAACATGATGCACATGATGCACACCTGTAATATAGAACATGATGCACACCTGTAATATAGAACATGATGATGCACACCTGTAATATAGAACATGATGCACACCTGTAATATAGAACATGATGCACACCTGTAATATAGAACATGATGCACACCTGTAATATAGAACATGATGCACACCTGTAACACATGATGCACACCTGTAATATGTAATATAGAACATGATACACCTGAACATGATGCACACCTGTAATATAGAACATGATGCACACCTGTAATATAGAACATGATGCACACCTGTAATATAGAACATGATGCACACCTGTAATATAGAACATGAACCTGTAATATAGAACATGATGCACACCTGTAATATAGAACATAGAACATGTAATATAGAACATGATGCACACCTGTAATATAGAACATGATGCACACCTGTAATATAGAACATGATGCACACCTGTAATATAGAACATGATGCACACCTGTAATATAGAACATGATGCACACCTGTAATATAGAACATGATGCACACCTGTAATATAGAACATGATGCACACCTGTAATATAGAACATGAACATGATGCACACCTGTAATATAGAACATGATGCACACCTGTAATATAGATGCACACATGATGCACACCTGTAATATAGAACATGAACATGATGCACACCTGTAATATAGAACATGATGCACACCTGTAATATAGAACATGATGCACACCTGTAATATAGAACATGATGCACACCTGTAATATAGAACATGATGCACACCTGTAATATAGAACATGATGCACACCTGTAATATAGAACATGATGCACATTGGAAACACTGATCAATGAACAAACAGTTTTTGATAGTGACCTGCTCTTAACAAATATTACCCGTGAAGATCCGGGTTAGAATTGATCTTCAACAACCTTTGTCGCATGAGGTAACTTACGGGATCAGGTGGTCAAGCTCGCTGACTGGGTTGACACATGTCATTGTATCCCAATTGCATAAATCAATGTTCATGCTGTTGATCCCTGGATTGTCTGGTCCAGACCCGATTATTTACAGAGTCCGCAGCCGTACAGCTGGAATATTGCTGAGTGCGGCGTAAAGCTAAACTCACTCACTCACTTAACAAACATTGCATGAAGCCAGTGCCATCACAAGTAATCCGTGTTCCTTTCTGTTTTAGTTACTGAAGGTTAAGCTTCTGTTGTATGTTAATTCTGACTGTGGTTACTACATGAATGGCATGGTGTGTGAGAGATTGATGTTGTTCACTGATGCTGTATTGCAATGAAAACACTTGAGGCAGAAGCAGACAAGACATGTTGCCGACTCAATCCTTGAACATGCAGTGTGTCAATATTGGGAGCCAGTTTTTACCCAATGGCCGTTTGTTCTCATTTAGGGAACATCTTTGTTGTCATTTTTTATAGTCAGTTTCACCCTACTTCTTTTTTTCAAACTCAATTTTGATGAAGAATTTCTGGTTATGCCCTGTGCTCATAGGATAGTAGCTGCTCAGCTACTTGACCTTACATCCTAACTTTCTATGCTTCAATTAAGAAATACAGTTCGCTCTACCAGTGTCCTCGTGCTTTAACTATAATAGTTTAGGGCGAAAGTGTGCTTTATTACACTATACATGGTGCTAGAGCGAACTGTATTTCTTTTCTAAGATGCCAAATGTACTACTTTCTAAGGATAATTACGACTAATCTAAGGTGGAAAACAAACGACGGTGTCTTTGACCTAAATTAAGAATCCTCCCAAAGGGCTAACTGGCTCGCTGTTCTATTGAACATTAAGACGAACATTACCAGAAAAAACAAATGATAAACAGTTTGATGACGGTTTACGTTCCGATTAAATACCGTCTCTAAATTATTTTAATTACATCTGTGATTAACGTAAACCATATGGGGCAATATGAACGTCGCATTTTTACTACCAACGTAAGTTTAGATCAGTACATCCAGATGAAGCTGAGTAGTCAAGCGACATTCCACGATTGCATTGTGGGAATGTAAACATTGCAAACGTTACCGTGTCGCTGAAAACTTGTGAGTCGAATTGAGACATTGTAACCGTTGGGAAAACATAAACGTAATGTTTCCACCAGTGATGTTAGCTGCGTGAAGCAACTGCAAACCAAGAACCGGGATGCAACAGAGTAGTTTACTGTAGGAGGCCGTACGAGGCGATGACAACTGTCATGCCACGTGACGCCGCCTTACATTGTGACGTAATGCAAAATTGTTCGATTACGAGGGGGCAGACTAGAATGGCGCAGTGACGCCAATACATTGTGACGTAATGCAAACAGTGCACATTATTGTCTGATAAAGTATTGTCGGCGCCTTCGATCTTTCACCGAAGCATCTTACAATATGAATTACATTTAAATCCCTAATCATGTACTCACAGAAAGACAGGTGTGGAAAGAAAAACATATAATCCAATTCCTGAACATATGGGAGCTAATATGCAGCTACATTATCTGACCCACCCTACCACTGGTCACCAGGCACAAGTCAAAGTAAGCAAGCAACATACTGTCTAAAATCTGAACATCAAAATGATATTCCACATGGATTTGTATGCTTAGGTACATTTATTACAAAATACCACAATCAGCATTAACCCTTTTCAATTTACAAAATCATTGAGATGTATCTGTTTTGAAATCCCTATTTCCATGTTCAATGATTTTCCCCTGCACATTCTCAGTAATACCATGTGACAACTGGCCAACAGGACATCTAGAACCAGTAGGAAATGCTGCACAAGGAACTATTATATTTGGCTGTTTACATGTTCAAATAGGGATGGTTTGGGCTTGATTTCATCTCAAGCTTTGTATTTGTGCTAAACACAGTTCAACATTTGAACTAACTACTTCTAACATGTATGAGTAATGCATCTGATTGTGAAATACTATTTATGTACATCATGTAATTGGCATCTCAACTGGCACAAACAAAACGAGATTTTGTCAACATTATCAAACATATTATGACTTCAGCTTTCTTGTTCTTTTCTTTTCCAAAAATATCCTCCACAAAAATAAGAATGGTTATCTGCGTCTTGATAAATCACAGATACCATGATCATTAATGTGATACTTCTGAATTCTATAAGCTATTATCAGATATTTTGATTTCAAAAGATACACAAAATGTTACTGGAGATTTAACGAAAAGGAATGTACAGCTACAAATGAGTGAGTGAGTGAGTTTAGTTTTACGCCGCACTCAGCAATATTCCAGCTATATGGCGGCGGTCTGCAAATAATCAAGTCTGGACTAGACAATCCAGTGATCAACAACATGACCATCAATCTGCGCAATTGGGAAACGATGACATACATGTG